GATTCTGTGTCCCTCATGATGTGAAACGATGGGTTGAGATGTGCAGCAAAGATAAATAATAAGGTTTTGTGTGTGAATTTCGGTGCAGTCATCTGTTAGAATTTTTCGCTCGTTGCTAATTCAGAGGCTCAGCGTTAGCATTGTGTTTTTTTTTGGTTGAAAAAACAATTAAAATGATCAGTTAGATGAGTTTCTTTCCGTTACATGAATATAAAACATTCATAGTTTATTAAATGAACATGCCCTCAGACACTGTTTCCTGCAAGATTTTGCTGGAGGCCCCCGTTACCGGGGTCTCTCGGGCTTAACAGAGTCACACATCCAAAATATTGGATTTCACAGTTATGTAATCCTATTATTGCCAGTCCAATGGATTTCTAGGCCCTATACACATATATTTAGACACACCAATGACTTGTCCACAATATATTATGAAGGAATTAGGGTATTTTAAATATATATATAATGTAATATAATAAATGACACATTTCTAGTGGTGTGGTGCCGAGAGACGGGAGTCGGAGGCGGGGAATTGAAGGTACAAGCTAGACTTTTATTAAGCATCTGCAAACACATGTAAACACTTCAAGCCCGGGAAGCGAAGACCGGCGGAAACAGGAAGTCCGGCTCACTCAAATGTCCGTGCAGAACAATACCCCAACCCATAGATCCGCGGGTGAATAATGTCAATCACCACAGTGGACAGATTTCGGTAGACTTTTAGTACGTTATTGAGGACACCTAATTCTACACAAAACTGTTCAGAAACCTTTTGTTGAAATTTCTTTGGGGTAATGTTTTTTTTTTCATTATGCAGCCGCCCATTAAAGGTGGGGTAGGTAAGTTTGAGAAACCGGCTCGAGATACTCTTTTTGTTATATTCCATGGAATGCTCTTAACATCCCAATAGCAATGAATCTCTTAAGTGCTTTGACAATAAATCCATACAAAAATGTCATCTGTGGAAACCGTAGTACTGTAAAAAGAACGACCAATCATCTGAGCCGGCCCGGCTAAAATAACTGGATGGCCTACCTGCCTGTCAGCCTTCCATCTGTGCACAAACTTATCTCGTGCCCTCATTGGTCATGTGCGCGTTCGTGTGTGTTGGAGGAGAGGCTCTGTAAGGAAGTGGCAGATTTTTTCCGGTTGTGTATTTTCAAATTCCAGCGCACTCGAGCTGGTTTCTCCAAAATTACCTACCCCCACCTTTAAGAAAACAAAAAAGGTTGCATCCCCCAATCCAACCAATGTTTTTAATTAAAATATTTTACAGTATAGGTGGATGAATGTGCTTTTATACTTTCATTTCAAATGTCTTTTAGATTGTCTACCACTTTAAACAGGACAATCATTGTAATAGTCTGGTGGAATGCAAACACTATGTAAGAATGTGATGACATTTAAAAGAGACCGAATGAATCACTTGAGGTGTTTTCCTCTCCTAAAGCGGATGTACTATAGCACTTGGGAAATAATCTCCCCAAGCTCAACTCAAACAGCGTGTCAGTGTGTCTCCAGCCACTCAGAAGGAAGAATGTGATGTGTGTGAGAGAGGAGAGCCTGGGAGGGCCGGAGTGTTTACAGAGGAACCCTCTCCGCACCACTTTCATTTCCTCTGCTAGGAAACTCCTGCTGCCTTTCTGCTGTTCTGCTCTGATTTATATTGGAACATTTAATAAGAATGTCCTTGTTTTGAATTACCAAATAGGTTCATAACAAAGCAGTACATTAGAACATCCAGAATCATTTTTATTGACTTTCTAGGATTGACTTAATATAAATTATCTTCTGCTGTGTTTTTATCTGTCGGTCAAAAAGCCCCCATGGTTATTTATGTATGTGCCAACATCAGTGTAGATGAAATGTTCCCCATGGCAGCATATCTAAACAGGACATATGGGATATCAGTCTCTGCACGGATATGGGAATCATTTTCGCTCTGGAGACGCTGGTGTTCCTCCAGAGATGTGAGCAGCATCGCCAAAGTGAGTTTTTTTCAGTTCTGCTGAATATTTTCCTCGAGCTGAGCACAATGCTACAAAAAAAGTGGAAGTCAGATAACATAATAAAAACATGCACTGATTCTCAGCTCAAGGGCTGATGAGTTATTACCTCCACAGAAGGGTTTTTGTTTTCTTTCCCATTTGTTTGTGTATTTGTCAGCAGCAATAACGCAGAATAGTTATTATAGAATAGTAATTCTGCGTTATCATAGTTCACAACTCAACTATCCCCACAATGCATTGCCTGGCCATCTAGCAGGCGTATGATGACGTCGGCATTTTCACGTCCTTTGATTGGATTGTCAGCGCTAGCAGTCAGTATCTGGTGTGAGGGTTAGGATTAGGGTTAAGGTTAGGGTAATGTTGTGAATCGAGTGGCCTGTGTTCATCGTCCATAACATGCGCCTGCCCATACCATAACCCCACCACCACCATGGACCACTCGGTTCACAACATTACCCTAACCCTAACCCTAACCCTAATCCTAACCCTCACACCAGATACTGACTGGTTTTCGGACCCCCCCCAGACCCCCCCAATAAAGCAAAAATGCACGTTTCAGAGTGGCCTTGTATTGTGGCCAGCCTAAGGCACACCTGTGCAATAATCATGCTGTCTAATCAGCATCTTGATATGCCACACCTGTGAGGTGGGATGGATTATCTCGGCAAAGGAGAAGTGCTCATTATCAAAGATTTTTTCAGATTTGTGAACAATATTTGAGAGAAATGCTTATTTTGTGTATGTAGAAAATGTTTTAGATCTTTGAGTTCATCTCATGAAAAATGGGAGCAAAAACAAAAGGGTTGCGTTTATATTTTTGTTCAGTGTAGTTTGTTTGCAGATGATGTGAAACAAATTCTGTGTAATAGTTCAACATTATTTCACTGATCCAAAGTTTATAGATTAGATTAGAAGCATTTATTATCATTATACAAGTACA